CCTTCCAAGTAGCTGGAACTACAGGCGCGCACTACCATGCCCGGCTAATTTTTGATTTATGGTAGAGATGAGGTCTCGCTAAGTTGTCCAGGCGGGTCTCGAACCTGTGGGCTCAGGCAATCCCCTCACCTCAGCCTCTCAAAGTGCTGGGATTACAGGCTGAGCCACAAAGCCTGGCTTATTTATTTATTTGTGTCAGAGTCTCACTGTCACCTAAGCTAGAGTGCAGTGGCACGCTCACGGCCACCACAGCCTCAACCTGATGGGTTCTGGCAATCCTTCCGCCGCAGCCTTCCAAGTAGCTGGAACTACAGACGCACGTCACCACACCCGGTTAGTTTTTGTGATTTATTGTAGAGACAAAGTCTCGCCAAGCTGCCCAGGCTGGTCTCGAAGCCCCAGGCTCAGGCAATCCTCTGGCCTTGGCCTCCCAAGGTGCTGGGATTACTGGCTTGAGCCACCGCACCCGGCCAGTATAGCAATATTTAATTTTCTGGGTTTCTGTCTCACTCTTCATCAAGTGCACACTTTTTAGACAAAGATGGCTCTCGCCCCTAAAAGTCAGTCTCTATTGACTTCATTTTACAAATATTAGACAAGGAGGCCTGAACACAAAGGTTCAGGTCTGTAATCCCAATACTTTGGGAGGCCGAGGCAGGAGGCTCACTTGAGTCCAGCAGTTCAAGACCAGCCCGGTTAACATAAGACCTGTCTCTCCAAACACACACACACACACAAAGAGAGAACACTATGCGAAGTCTTAGCCCAGATGCTGGAACGTTAACTTCCTTTCCCAAAGAGGTAAAGCACGGCACCGGGCACTGCGTAGGCCACAGGGATGAGCAGGACTTCTAACTGTAAACAGGCGGAATACGACGGAGGCCCCGAGAGAGGCCTTGGGAGACCTGCTGCCGACACGCCCACGAGGCCGCCTCTGTGTCTACGTCGCAGGTCCTGTGACCGCAGGCTCGCCAAGGGGTGTCTGCTCATGACCTCGCTCCCGCCAGCCATCTCCGCGGCTTCTGCGACGCGCCGGGCCCCCTCCCAGGGGCGTGGACTACATCTCCCGACAGGCAGCCGCCCGGTTCTCCCCCTCTGCGGGTCCCGAGCCATGGCAACGGCGTGACGTGGGGTACCGAGGGCGGCGGGAGCC